AATGGTGAAATAGAAACGAATCCCTATAAATTTTGAATGCATTATTTCATTCCCTTTTTTAAGTATTTAAATAATTTTTTACAGAAAAAGGTTGAAATGATAAGTTTAAAATGCGTTGTTTTAGAGCTCTTTTATGAAAACTACTTGATTTTCGTCAGGAAGAACATTCCCCATTCTCAAGGCTTGCCTACTTGCGATTAAAAATGATTGAAACACAACTGTGAAGTTATGAATGTTTTTATCTATGATTGGCCTCCAAAGTAGTGAGATATGCATCATTTTGCTTACTTGACCAACAGAAATTATTCACATAATTGACGTACTTTTCAATTATCATAGGAAACACATTTTATCACATCATTTTGTAAGTTTTTCAAGGGTATACGTAGGAGTAGATGTAATAGAAAAGTGAATCATTCTATGAAATCAGATACTATAAGAAAGATCTACTCATAAATTGCTGATTCAAATAATTCCGCGAACGAGCTGAGTAAACTTGAAGGTCTAAAATAATTGAACTGAAATTCAAGAACTGATGGGAAATGTGTATTTCAATTATATGTGCAAGAAAGGCAACAACAGAATCAATACACTTTTTTGATAAGAAAAATTAATACTTCATTGTTTCCTGAGCTCCTTTATTTTCCATTTTTTAATCATTTGTTGAAGAAATTCATTATCAATGGAGAAAAATGAGAAACTTTTTTCGTTAAAGAAAATCTTGCAAGTGTAACTGTTTCATTGTGATAGTTTTTTCAAAACAAGATTAGTGGCAGTTTTATAAAAAAAAATCAGTTGATTTGAAACCTAATGTATGTCATTAAAATGTGGTAAAATGTTGCTTTTCTTTACATTTGTAGTTATTTCATGTGTGACATTGATGACTTGTTTATTTTGTGGTAATTCATGATCACTTTAATGAAATCAATGAAAACACTTTTGTCTAATTGACACTAGTTAATTTTATTTATACGACCGGTTTCAGGTTCAACCCCATTATCAAGTATAAAACTGAAATGTGAAGTTTGAAAACTCGGTTACATCGGGAGTTTTCAGGAAAGATGTAAGATGTAGTTGAACGACAGGTAGTTGAACGAACCAGGGTACCAAGTTTAAAATTCAACACTGAAGATTATAGGGATTGTTAAAGTTATAAATTCAAGAGTGGAGACCTACATAACTCGAGTTGCTCCATTACCAGAAATATATACCCCTAAATGAGCAACTCAAATTATATAGGTCTCCACTCTTGAATTTATAAGTTTAACAACCTCTATAATCTTCAGCGTTGAATTTTAAAGTCGACACCCAGGTTCGTACAACTATCTGTCGTTACATCTTACCTGAAAACTCCCGATATAACCGAGTTTTCAAACTTAACATTTCAGTTTATTACTTGATAATTGGGTTAAACCCGAAACAGGTCGTATAAATAAAATGAACTAGTGGTAATTAGGCAAAAGTGTTTTTATTCATTTCATTAAAGTGTAGTTATCTCAAACCATGAGGTTTTTGATTTGTTTTTTTTTGAGTTTTTCCTGAAAATATTTGTTCCTCTTCTTTTTCAATAATTTACTATACATAATCTTATGTGCTTGGATTGGGTCTTTCAATATATTCGTATTGGTGTTGAATGAATTGAAATTGCATTTAAATGAAAGTGCATGGTGGAAAGGGCCACATATCTTCATTCCGCCACAATTATAAACATTTGTTGTAATGGGAAAGAAAGTTTTTGGCTTTCTACTACTCCATTTTGATACAAAAAAAAAGGAAGGATGAGGGAGTCTTCCAAAGAAAGGAAGGAAGTAACTCTATACATGGATGTGTAGATCATGCAAATTTTTTTTTTTCAGAGGAATCTATGATATGGAAGGCTAGGAATTTTGGTGACCAAGAGCTATATCATAATGCTCAAAACATAAAACTACCATCTTGTGAACAGCTACAAAACCTAAGAGCCAGATAACTCAATTTGTTTCTAATTAATTAATTGCTCGTAGGTATTTACTGTCTGTATATTGAAAAAGTAAGTAGTTTAGAAACACTTGATATTAAAATTAAAGTAAAGGCTTTGCTGAGTGAAGACGATTTAAGTTATATATAATAACATATGGAAGTCTAGTCAGTATGGAATGTTACACAGACTGTTCTTTTTTATTCAGATTAATAACTACATTGTACAGTTCTTGAACAATTATTTTGTGTGAAGGAATCGGACGGAATATTTCCGTTTTCTTTTGTCGTTTGGCTTGAAAATAAATGGGAAAACATTTTTGGGATCATCAATTTCCATCAGAATTTCCATTTTTTGTCTTGAAGGTATCGAGAAAACTTTCATCAACTTGTGTGGAGCAGTTTGTTAAAATACAGTATCGCAGTGATTAGTTTCTGAGAGAGTATTGTGATTTTTCTTTGTATCATACATAATCCTTATCTATACTTATATATTTCTCATAAGTCAGATCATCTTGCAGACTTGAATTTTTTACCAAATACATTCCAAATATGTTCAAACAATCTTACATATTCTACATCAATTTATCAATCAATTAATTTGCATAATAACTCACAATAATTTTTTTTGCATCATCAGGAAAGACTTGAAAATATAATACTACATACACGCAACAAAGTACACTCAATATTAAAATTGAAGATTGAGAAACTCATCAATATTGTAGTGACACAGATCAACCAGCAGCTCTTTTATATCATTCTTGATTTTATTTATATGCAGATTTCTCATTTAAGGTGGAAGACGGTTATAGAGCCTTATGGTTACGGTTGCGAAACTTTTATGGGTGATTGCCAGGCGATACTGTGGCATAAAAAGGTTGTGGCCGATTCTGATTGTATATTAATGGTTGTTTACTGCACTAATGTTTTGATGTAGACAAGGCATTGGGATATGTATAAAGCTGGAATAGTTAGAATATAAAATTTCTTAAATAGCGGTCTATAGCTGTCAGTCCGCTTTATTTTTCCCAATATTCTAAGCAGTCCATAAGATACCTTTGATTGAAATAGCCCCATGTAAGCTGCTCTAGAAATATAGAACGGAACAAATTCAGTGATTCTACGAAGCAGGAAAAGAACACTGAACAGTTTAGAAGAAAGATCTTTGCTTTTCCAATTGAGCGTCAGATTCAGAATTACGCTCAAAAATTTGAGAGACTTTTTGCAGTCTTTTAGCTCTTTCAGAGTGTAAGTGAGTGTATTAGTTTTTTTTACGTCAAGGCACAAATTTCTAGCTGCACAGAATGTATCAATTTTATTTATTGCGTCTTGTTCTTGAAAATATTCATGATCTGGGGGACTATCATAAAATGTTGTTTCACCAGCATACTGAATGGTGTTGAAAGGACTCATGTTATTACACTGTCATATTTCCATAATTTTTCTGTTCATCCGAGAGTCAGAATATAATCTTCAATACTTAAGTACTGTTCATAAGTGACACACAGCATTCTCAATGTGGTTGAATAATAATCTTTCAAGGCATTTGAATCCGATCACATCAAAAACATTTTCATTCAAACAATCCGTCATTATTTTCTACATCATTGGACATTTTTCTACGCCCCTTTCAGATTGTTATTGAAAGGTCATTTATTGTTGAGAATAAATTTCGTAATTTTCCATATCCACAGATCATCTTATTTTTTAAAACGATTTCAATCAGATCCTTTTTCATTGCGGAAAATGAAAGGTCCCAGAAAAATCCATAACAACTCTTTATTTCCTTGACAAATTTAACTCTTGTCAAGTTTCTAAGCATATTGCACATAGTTAACAACTGTTTGTAGTTTCACTGCCTCCATTATTTTAGTGTACATATGAGGGAGACAAGGTTAAACAAATTTTCTTGTTATCTTAATTGAATTGAATTAACACAACAGCATAATTAATGAATCTCCCAAGTGAGATAGTTCACATACGCAAGATTCATCAATTGTTCAATACGTTTGTTGAAGAACAAATTTTTGAGTTACCAAACATAATATCTTTATCTGTTTTAATTTGAATATTAAATTTCGGCAAATTCAAAGCCTGCCTTTATTATACATACAATTTCCCATTTTTATATGTTTGCAAATGTTGAGTTTTCTCCAAATTCATAGCTCTATCAACGTCAATAGTCATTGGTTGACATCTGATGTATTGAATTTAAGATGGTGTCAATCTAATCATAAAGTACTTCTCATAGCACAGATCTGAGTGTACCTAAATACAGGTTGATAATGGTGAGAGATGAGAGAATTACCAAAATATAGCGAGAGACAGCATTAATACGCATTTTGGTCACCTCCATATCTGTAATTAGTATGTTTCAATAGGTACAGCTTGTCAAATCTAGGAAGCGACTTTAAAGTCTCGGCTTAGGACGTCCCCTAAGATGCGCATTCGTTAGGATACTGAGACAGAGAGAAAGAGAGAGGGAGAATTCTCCAGCCTCTTCCTAGTTTTGACAGACTGTAGAATACATTGAAAGAGAAAGTCTTCCGTTGTTCAGCACATTTTTCTCATCATCAGCAAATGATTGAAAAAATTTTGGCGTGTTTTGAAAATATTTTTTCCACAAGTGTGATTGTAGACAAGAGGGGTTTCGCAAACGATTGTTATTTCCGCTCAGTGCGGTTCAAGTGTTTTTATTTTCATCAAATTTATCTACAATCAAATTACCTGTTTAGTCTGCTTAGTTTTCAAATGAAACTATTGTATCATATGAAACTTTATTATTTCAATTATTATTGTTATCAATTAGTGTTGATTTATAAGTTATAGTATGAGGTTGTTTTGTCACATTAAGGGTTTTTTTATGGATATGACTGAAGTGAACTACAATTTTGTTTCTTTCATTAATAAAATTTGTTATGTGAGGTGAGGAGAGGAGCCGAAACGGTTTGAACAATGAAATACTGGTGAAAACTAGTGAAAGATCTTTTATTCAACTGAAAGAGTTATGAGAATACTAATTTCCTTTTTTCTCTGGTTACCTAGATTGGAGTAAAAGGTATTTCATTAGAGGATAAAAGCACTCTTTAATCCTAACCTTTGCATTTATGGAATCATTAAACTGTCTATTATTAGCTTTTAATACTCCTTCATAGACTATGTTAGAGTTTAATCACAGATCCGAATTTATTTTGATCTGTAGATTTCTTTCTATCAGAAAACCTAAGTTGTTTTCTAAACATGAACGATATTGGAATAGTCCTTTTATATTTGTTCAGAAATAATTTAGCCATATTTTTATTTCTACGTGATTTATTAATGAAAAAATTAATTTTGACAATTAATATCCGATCATGATGATTTGTATCTGATAATCTGCAAGAAGATGTCTGTTGGAACCATTGATCTGATGAAAACTGAATTATCTACATCATTTGAATAATGGAGTTTTTTCATGGATCCTCTTTGGGTATTTTATTGTATTTTTTCGTTGGATAAAGTTCTTTTGATGCCAAATATCAATTACAATATTTTTGACAGAAGTAATCTTGCATGGTGATATGACTATGCAATAACATGAATGTTCATTACATAATTTTTTTGTTATTTATTATTAGTGGATTTCGCATTGTACGGAAAATCCTGTTGAAAATCATGAATCTTCATGTAGCTGCCGGAATGATGAGAATACACTTTTGTTTTGTAAGAATAATGTTATTTAATGAGTATGTAATGGTTGCTGTAAGTTACTGAAGAAATCAGTTCAATATTGTACATACAATTGTTTTCAAATAAATTTATTAGTAGAAAATGCAGTTTCAATGATACTTTTGCAACATATCTATAGATCAAAACCAGTAACGTCCTAAAAAACAATCCAAATCTGGCCTAAGCAACACTTCATTGGTGAAGTACAATATTTTATAGTCTTCCAGTTTTCCACTGTCACTTCGAATGTTTTTGATTATTTTCAACTTTCACTCAACTGGTCTGAATGAAAAATGATTCGAACTTCATATAACTCAAAAATATGACACCTACATGCAACTGAAGTAAATGAGCAAGTTAGTTTTGACACCATACTGGCATATACCGATCGATATAGAATATTATACTCTATACATTAATATCCCGCTATCCCATTCACCTTTTATGATGGGGTAGCGAAAAAACTGGAGTTGGCATCCATATTGCTCGAAAGTAGGTGCCCTACGATCGACAGAAATTGTCACGTTTCGACGTCTTTACTTCTTTGCTTTTGCGCAACCGAAACTATAGTTTTATGGATCCCCTATTCAACAGGAGACGGTCAGGGCAGTGGTTAGACACCACTGAGCCACCTAAGCACTTCCCAAAGGTGAAAACCTCCAAAAAAAGGCCGTGGTACTGTCACTATCACTTTCTGCAATTGGGTCAAACCATCACAGTAGAGTTCTATTGTGAGTAAATGTACCGAAAACTGCGCCAGCAGTAGCCGGCACTGGTCAACAGAAGAGGTCCGGTCCTGCTCCATGAAAATTAAACGAATTGAGCGTCGAAGTTTTGCCTCACCCACCATACTCTCCAGACCTTACGCCAACTGACTACCATCATTAAAAGCGTTGGCAAAAGTGTACTGATTCAAATGGTACTCATATCAAGTAAGTATTCATTCGGATGAAAACCCAAGACAATGCGCAGAAATACATACCCAACATCCCCAAAAGTTGAATGTCTGGGCCGGAATATTAGGCAATCATATTATAGGTCCATGTTTCATTGATGGAAATTCAAAATTAAAGCATTGAATATGTAGAATAAATATAGTTAGTAAAGACACCACCCGAAGAAGCCACTGTATGGCGAAACACGTATTGCGTTTTTGTGAAACAGTTTAGAGTGAAAATCTCACTACAAAGTATTTTTTTGAATATCCTAGTTATGCATTTTCATCAAGTATCGGCCAATTCCACCATATAGAGTAATGCTCAACAATGCACCAAAAAAAAATGCAGAAATCCTCACTGTACCCAGTTCACCTATATTTCATCTAATATTGTATATAAGGGAAAGAGGACACTTTAGGAGAAAATGTTCATTCATATTACACTAAAAACCCTTATTGACCTAGTCAGCATGAATGTCTGAACACGCACATTGGTGAATCATTCACATTGTGACTGGTCAGCTAGTTGATAGTATTGAAAATCTCAAAAAACACTACAGAAATATAAACGGAGTATTTGCCATCATACATTTCAACATTTATTTCTGGACACATTATAAGAAAAGACTATCAGCGATTTCTTTTAAGGAAAAACATAAACTCTTCAGGAAAATCCTCAAGGCGCTCTGAGAGCGGTGCCTGTGCGAAAGTAGCGATTCACATTGTATTTGAATCGCTGGAGATTGAATTCATATGGAAAAACGTTCTCAGGAAGTTCATTCAACTTAAACCCAATTCTCCAAATGAAAGAGTTCTTAAACATTGAAGCTCGAGATGTACTCAGTTGAACCTCAAAACGATGAGCAGCCACAGTCAAATGTGCCAAGTCACCTGAACACTTCCTATGAAAGTATCTATAGAAGAGAGACAAATCTCCAACATTTCTTTGATGTTCCAGACTGTCAAGGTTGCAAGTGATGTTTGCGTCTCCAATCAGGCGGATGGCTCTTTTCTGGATGCAATCCAGCAGCTTCAGGGTATGTTTGGGGTCGGAGCTCCATACATGAGAACGACACTCCAAAGAAGGTCTGATCTGAGCTTTATAAAGCATCAAAAGTTGCTGAAGTGTGTACAGTTTTCTGGTTCGGAACAGTGTTCTAAGCTTTTGAGAAGCAGCCTTTGCAATTCCAGCGATATGGTTGTGCCAAGACATATTGGTGTCCATTTTAACCCCCCAACAAACTTATCGAAGCAGAAAACGGAATTGTCTGTCCTGTCATTATTATATTCGATTCAGAGACATTTAACTTTTTGAAGAAAACCGATACCTGGGTTTTTGTGGTATTGAATTGAACCTGGTTACTTTCACGCCAATTCGAAGTCACTTTTAGATCCTCATTGAGATATACAACCTTCTGCTGCCGGTGAAGATGTGCATCTTCAGCCGATGTCCTGAAAATCCAAATGGAATGACGAGACAAGTGTGCTGTCGTCAGCAAAGCAATTTATTGGATTCTTGTTTTTTTCCAATAAGTCGTTGATATACAATAAAAAGAGGGTTGGAGACAATATGGATCGCTGGGAAACACCAGCGTTGATGGTAAAGGTATTCGAGAGATATCCATCGATGGTCACTTGCAGGAAACGTTGCCATGCAAAAAATGATAAGACAAGCCACAGCATCGAAGTTTGGCCAGCAAACCCTCATGTTATACACAGTCAAAGGCCGTAGAAATATTAAGCGCAACAGCTCTAGGCTCTCCATGTTTCTCGATTGGGTGACATACGATAAAAGATCGCCTGTTGATCTTTGTTTCCGAAAGCCATATTGATGATCGCTCAATATATTGAAGCCTTCCAAATATTTGAAGATATGGTAGTTTACGGCTTTCTCCATGATTTTTTATCTCAGTGATAGCAAGGCGCCTGGTCTATAGTTATTTGGAAGATTTTTCTCGCCCTTTTTGGGAACACTCTGAATGCGATCAATCTTCCAACAAGAATGACAAATCCCTTTCCTCTAGGACAGGTTGGAAAGTCTGCAAAATACTAATGCGAGTTCATTTGCGCATCTTTTAAGTGCGATGACGGGCACTTCATCATCACAACACGTCTTTTTGATATTCAGCCGTTTCAAAATTCACCTGATTAGACGTTGTCGAAAAGTAATTTCCGGCATTGTGGATTCTAGTATGGAAATAGTGTAAGTAAATTAACAATATAACCAATTATTCTTTTCTATTTTCTTGCTATCGTAACTTGCTGATTTTTTCCTTTCAATTTGTCTTGTTTTTACCACTATATATCGTTCATTCCACAATTTTTACTATGTAACGTCTTTCTGAATGTATATCATTGAAGATACGCATAGTTTAAACTTCGAATTTGAATATTCCGAGATTGATATTTTCAAATTCATCATTTTAAAAATGCTGTCGCTGATCAAAAAATAAACTATCAGGACATAGAATTGATTTACTCAATAAAAAATCTATATCAAAACGGTGATTGATAAAATAAATATCTTAAATTGAAAAAGACAACAAAAACAACATTAATATCGATATATAGAAGGGTATAAAAATAATACATGAATATTCCAAAAGGCTGCTGGCCCTACAATACTTAGTTAAACAGACATGTTTACTTTCTTCATCAAGTATTGTGTTCATCGTCATTATTGTTATCCGTGACATTCTCATCAGAGATGTCTGTATCGTTTGTGTCAATATTGCTAATAACAGATGTATCACGAATTTCCAGTAAGTCTGATTGAGAAGTACTATTCGTTTCAATTTCAGGTTCCGAACCTTGTCCGTACACTCCATGTAGGTCATCGAGCCTATTGGAAATAACCACACTTCTGTTTGCCGTATTAGTTACTTTCGTAACTAACTGTTCAGCTTGACCTTCAAGTCGCCGGAGTCTTTCATCCCTCCTTGCTAAAACTTCCTCTAGGGTTCTCATTGGTATTTGAGTTTTCGAAGTACTTGGAGTATTGTCTAAGGGCCCTTCAAAACTGGAGAAGTCTTCATTTGATGTGGATGGTAGGTGTATTGTTTCCTCAGGGGGAGGGTTTTTGGCTACTTCATTTTGACACGTTTCAATGTCTTCCAGCGATGTCAATTTTCCATCATCAGCCCTTCCTGAAGTATCAGTTGAGAGTACTTGACCAGTATCTTCACTGCTATTTTGTACATCTGTCAATTGTTGCTTTTGAATTATGTATCCGGATGCTGCTGCTTCTGAACTGGCTTCTGTTATGAATTCTTCTGCCAAATCATTTCCAACAGTTTCAGAAAGCGTTGTCTCATTGTTTGGAAGCATTTCTTCATTTTCCACTCCATTTCCTCCTGTTGTCTTCTGAGCACATTCGGAAATGTCTGTTTCATAACCTGGCTCATCGTCACTGCTAGAACACTCCCTGTCGTCACTATATCCACTTTCTGTGCTGTTGTTCAGATCATCATTCAACACAGTATTTTTTCTTGCAGCAAATTCTGTTCTGAGTTGCCTCCACTGTAGTTCAGTCTTGGAATTTTTTGCTCTAGCCTCAGCCCACTTTTCTCTGCTGTATTCCAATTCTTCTTTGAGTTCCGTAAGTAGTTTTCGTTTTTGAGCAAGTTCGTAACGTAAAATTTTCTCCTGCGTGTGAAGCATTTGATGTTGTTTCTGCATTTTTCCGACCTGAAAATTTACGATTCAAATATGTCAACATTCTTTAGATATTCGAAGTTAGAAGAAGTTAATTGGTAAAGAAAACTAGGTGAAATTAAACATTTTTCTCTGAAATACAAATCCAATTCAATTAACTTTCATCTATCGCTTATACAGGGTGGACCAAAAAATCGCCGTCGATTCCCATTTGGAAAATCGACGGCAAACGTTGAGCGTTTTCACTTCTAAAATATTTTTTTTTGAATACTTAGAAGGATTTCCATTAAAAATTGTTTCACTTTCTTGTTCACAATTCACGAATTGAAATTTGATGCTTGGAATTGAAAAATAACGTACTGAAAAATGAGAATTAAAACTTCCTGTTTTTATACCACTTTTATTTGTGACTAACGTTCCTGCAGTTTCGTACTACAAGGACATTTTTAAACGAATAAAATTAGTGCGCTCTCTGGGTGAAGCCGAAACGTCCAATTTTCTATGGTTCTGATGCATAAATCTGGCTAAATTTGACCGATGATATGAGTTATTTTGGCTTTGAGGACCGCTGTGGTTTGTGGCTCATTCGCATACACCTGCGACTCGATAAAACATCACAAGAAAAACTCTAACGGGGTTAAATCACACGATCTCGGTGGCCTGTTCACGTCACCTCAACGTGAAATGACACTGCCCTCAAATGGCTCGTGCAGAATATCCAATGTGGCATGAGCTGTGTAGCACGTAGATCCATCTTGTTTATGGTTGTTGGTTGTCGTTGGTTATCATCGACATATAGTGCTCACCGTAGACATTGATGGCCTGGCCAACATCGTTTTCAAAGCCGCCAGCCCAAAATCCACACCAAACAGTGACTTTTTCGGGATGCATTGGACACTCTTGGATCTCATGTGAATTGGTATCGTCCCAAATTCGACAGTTTTGATGGTTCACGTACCCATTCATCCAGAAATGGGCCTCGTCGCTCATAATAATAATATCGATGAAAATTAGGGTCAGTTGCCAACTGCTCCAGAGCTCATTCAGCGAACACATGTTGCTGTCTATGGTAGGTTACCTTCAGTTCCTGGGTCGCTTGAAGTTTGTACGGGTGCAGGACCAAGTCACGACGGACAATTCGCCAAATTGTGGTCTGCGAAAGGCCAAGTTATTGTGAGTTACGTGAAATCGACTGTCTCGGATTCTCTCACGGACAACGGCGAAGTTTTCGGCAGATCTTGATCTTGCGTTTCATCGATGTTCGAGTGTTGGTCTATCGTTACTGACTCAGTGGACTCTAATATAGTATTCAGCAGTATTTTGACTATTTAAATTGACTATATTCTGTTCACCATGCTTTATTCCGCATCGGAATATCGATAATTGAATTTTACCATAAAAACAGTAGTGCACTAATATTACAGCACATTTGATTGATGATTATAATTGTGATAAGTACAATGAAAGAAACTATGTTATTGAACAGTGGGATGTCAAAAGTAAACTGAATAAAATATTGGAAAACGAACATTTGAAAAATTCCCTTTAAATTTTTCCCGTCCTCAAGTTGAAAGAAAATAACTCTGATAGACGTTTGCAATTTTCTGAATTATGTAGTGGACAAATAATAAATAATTCGGATAATTCTAAACAGGATTCTTTAACCGTCCTAAATATCGTTATTGATAAGACGAAAATCCTTACTTGGTCCATGAAGTTCACATCTTGAGAAGTTAAATGTATGATATGAAATGTATTTGTGTCCTTTTTCAACCAGGAAATCTAGCAACGTATACAATGTATAAAAACGTCATCAATGATCTGATGAAATTCATAACAAGCCTCATCCGTGTCGAGTAAATTTTGTTTTTCTAAACGCCAACTTTGAGAAAATGTCTTGTGTTCAGTTTTTTCGGTATACATTTTGAAGGTGAAATAAAATACTTACCACAAGCCAAGTTTTAGATAGTTCTGAATGAACCAATTCTAATCTCTTCTCTTGATCCTGCAACCTATTTTCCAGGTGTCCGTTCAACTGTTTCAGATGATTGGTTTCCTTCTCCAGGGCTTTCTTCTCTAAAATTAGGTCCTTCAACCTAATGAACGTCTGACTAACACTAAGTACTAAACTTGGTCCCTTTGGTGTTTCCACAGTCTTATAGCAAGGATTTTCTTTATCTTCGCTGTTTGTAAGTGTGTTGGTCGGAACTATTTGGTGACTGAGGAGTTCTATGAGGACTCTCCATACCTTCGGAAGATTTTCAACTATTTCCTCAGCACTGTTCATTTGTTGGTGTATTGTGGAGGTTGTTGACTCTGCAACAAAAAATATTGGAAAATAAAGTGATATTTGTGTGAAGCATATTACAACACATTGTGGCGTTTTGATTTGAATAATTCCCATAAAAAAATCAAAAGAACCTAATGTTGTGAAAATTGTAGAGCTCAAATGTTTTCATGAGCATATTTTGAGATAATTTGAAATCGAATAAACTACTCCAGAGTTCTTGACTGCATTTTGAAGGTTTCTAAGAGAAATAAATCCGGTGAGATTGAAGACCTTTGAATTGCTTTCCTTTCACTGATCCACCTATCTTTATCATTCATTCTACGTTTAATTCACAAAAATAATGAGGTGGAATACCGTCCTTCTGGAAATGTAGGATATTCATCTATAAAACCAACTTACCATCTTCATCAATTGAAATTTGTCGGTTGTAAGTAATAAATCGATAAAACATACAAGCATGTACAAGTACAAATCGCCTGTCATACAAAATGACCCTTTTGAAGTCATTGTGTATTCCTATGGATTTGAGAGTTGTCAATGTTAAACTCCATTTCAAAGCCAATTTTTCGTCACTTCAATTCGAACAATTTTGCCAGAAATAATAATGATCTTCATCGATTTCAGCAAGACAGAAAAAAATAAAAATGAACAGCAGTAACTCATGTATTTGAAAAAAAAATAAGGAACGAATATTAGAGACCTTCGCGGAGATGAGAACTTCCCCATTGCATGAAACAAATTATTCAATGGGTATATTTTTAATGATTTTCTGAATTCGACAACTCGCTATTGTTTAGTGAAACACGTGTTACGGTTTTGTAAATCTTTGATAGTGAATTAAAAGTAATATCGTCACTAGGTTTCGATATGGATTTTCATCAAGTATCAGTCAGGCATATGAATGTAATTACTTACTATTATAAATAGATTCAACCTATCTGTGAAATAAAATCGTATAGTTATGAATTAATTGAGTACTCCATCTTATAACGTTATTCAGATTGCTGGTGAAAAAGCAATAAGACAAGTGTTTTTTTCGAAACATCGATGTACGACATTGATGTCTCCCCCTTTTACTTTTTGAATGAGTCAACTCAAAAAACAGAAATTTGGGATACTGAAATTAATGAACTTTATTTTGAAGTGAAATTGACAGATGAAACTCTCAAGATGGCGACTGGGTGCCATCTGGGGAAAAAATCAAAAGGAAAGAGGAAGTCTTGTTCACCCATCTTTTCAAAGCTCCTGACAAATGGTTTACAACCCTAGAATATGAAGTCAATATCTTCACCTACTACAAAATGGCATAACATTTAATAATTTCCTGAAGGCAAACACATTAATATCGATATTTTTGTCATATGGCAATTCCAACAACCCGATAAGGTTTATTAAGTTATTTTTTGTTTATGTGTTTCTAATTATTTGTTGTGGTAACTGCTCGTAAATCGTCAAAAGAGCATCTGCAATTCGGTTCAGATTTTGGAAGGGTTGATGATCCTTCAAACAGGTGTTTGTTCACTTATCGGGAAGGTATCATTTATACAAAAAAATTGTATTTGCTGTATACATTATCTCTCTCTGCCACACGCTTCATGAGGCAACCGATATGCTGACATCCTCAGCAACTTCTTTAATAGTGATTGGACGATTCATCATAACAATTTTCTTCACTTTCTCAACATTTTCATCGTTTGCTGATGTGCTGGAGCGTCCAGGGTAATGATGAACCTTCCATTTTTGATGAAGACGTTGTTTAAAAACTCATTCGTCCTTCTTTGGGACCAACAAACTTATATCGAAAAGAATACAGGTGAGACATAACACTGGCTTTTTACAAAAAAATGGTTGCTTTGTCGAAAACTTATCAAAAAAATATTCGTGGAATTTAAAATAGATAATTCATGGAATCATCATACCTACATATTTTTCATAACCTTATAAGTATTTCATAACGTATTGTAGTTTCAAGAGTTTTGTTAGTATTCAGTTTTCATAAATGAATTACCTATTTCTTCCTGAATTGATTCTAACTGGCCACTCAGCAAGTTGGGTTCATCTTTCAGTTGTTCTTCAATTTCTTCAGGATTATTCACTTGTTTGAGAAGGTCAAGAAGTACTTTTGGCAACGCATACGAAACTTCTGAAGATATTTCGTTCACAACAATATCCTGCAGGAGATCACGATGATCCTCCAAATGTTTCTGCAGTTTATCCAAATCTAAATCTTGAGAACTGTTGAAACCGAGCAAAATTTCTGAGAAAAGTCGGTTGATTACTGCCAATTCGGCTTGAAGTTGTTTACATTCAGCTCTTGAGAGACCCAAGTTGGATTCAAGCGTTTTGATTTCATCGTATTTCTGTGAGTTGTCATGTTCTAATTCTGATATTCGTTCTTTCAGCTCACTGAAATAAAAAAAATGTGATCAGTTGTTGTTATTTAATAGGATATACTACATAAAATTTAGTATCAATTCCAAATTTTCATAATTTTTCTCAAGAATCCAATGGACTCAAATAAGATTTATACATAAGTCAGTTTCAATAAAAATATCTCCCACAGGCAGGCCTCCACTCTACTCATTAACAATGCTGCGTTTCTTTACAAACATCAATAAATATTCGAAAATGATTTTCATGTGTGTATCTGAAAGTTTGAAACGATTGGTTTGAAATAATCCCCGATTCTCATTATCCAAAATGAGCTCAATTTTACTTGAGTTCGAGGCAATGCAATTCTGTCGATTCCATCGTATTGGAACCTGTCAGTGAACCGATGGATATAAAAACTACTGCAATAATTAAGGAAATATGAAGTTTGATTACCTTCCCTTCTCCTTTTCTGCTTGAAGCTCTTTCTTGATATCATCCAATTGAGAAATCAGTTCCTGTTTCTCCCTTCTTTCTACTCTTTGTCTCTCTTCATACAATATCCTGAGATTTCTGATATTCGCCATTTGTCTTTCGTATTCATTTCTCATGTCTTGGGAAAAAACGTCCAATTCTTTTTCCGCCACGGATTTTTCAATTTCTTCAAATTTTTGTTTAAGCTGGAAAAATTTAAATGATAATGATGAATGAAATTAAGTTGGACTAAAAAATTACACTGGTCAACACTGTTTTTGTCACATGAACTTTGTAATGTTTTTTGTTTATGTTGGCGTATCCTCATTAAAAATATATGATAATTTTGTTTCAATTATATCCAATTTTTTTCTATACGTGTATTTGTTTGAATACCGCGATTTAGGCGGCTGTATAACTATTGCAACAACTAACATACGTTAGTTGGTACATCGCTAGTATGCCACGAGTGTTATAATAACCCCGACAGATGGCACAACCAACACATGGTAGTGCCCTGAACTGGAACACTCAGGCAGACAGTGTTAACGACCTTTAACAAAGCAAAACGTACAAGACTCGAAGAGGACTGGGTTATATATCAAGCCAACCTCAGAGAGTTCAAAAAAGTCTGCAGACGAAAGCAAAGAAAAGCCTGGAGAGCCTACTGTGAGGCAGTCGAAGACTTCCTACTAGCTTCTAGGCTACAGAAGGCACTCTCAAATGACCACTATACGAATATCGGCATCCTGACAAGGGAACATGGCGACAAAGCCGCCGACCTACAAGAGAGTGCTGAGATTCTTATGGAAACTCACTTCCCAGGTTCTCTCTTTCCTGGAACGACGAACTGGACGGAAGTACCAACACCACTCCACAATACGACTGGCAATCTGCTAGTGCAGTAATTGACGAGGACAAGATAAGATGGGCCATATAGGGCTTTTCCCCCTTAAAGTCACCAGGACCTGACGGTATAAGACCATCCCTACTTCAATGGGGAGTGGATATTTTTATGCCGCACCTGGTTGGAATATTTAAAGCCTTTCTAGCTCTGAGGTATATTTCCAGTAAGTGCAGAGAGTAGTATTTATACCCAAACCAGGTAGGATGGACTACACCTTACCAAAAACTTTTCTACCAATTATTCTCACACCGTTTTTTTCAAAAACTGTGGAGAGGCTATGTACGCGGTACATAAGAGATGAAGTATCAGTTCACAACCCACACTTCATCCAAATCAGCATGCGTATACTCCGGGAAGGTATACTGATTCGGCTCTTCACCACGTGGTTGGCAGAATCGAGAGATCATTGGACAACAAAAAATCCACCCTGGGTATATTCATAGATATCGAAGGAGCGTTTGATAAAACAACGTTTTCATTAATTTCCCAGGAAGTACACTCCAGGAATGTACCCCTGGTAGCAGGAGAATGGATACTCAAGATGCTCACTAGTAGAGCAATATCGATGTAGAAGACATCACAGTGAAAGGACTGGTCATGAGGGGATGTCCACAGGGAGGGGTCTCATCACCCCTTCTCTGGAACATAGTTCTGGATACCCTGATTAATCACCTCAACAATAATGGATTTTACACAATTGCATATGCAGATGACATAGTTATCTTGCAGACTGGCAAATTTGTGAATACACTGGGCGATAGAGCGCAGGATGGGCTCAAATTAATAGAAACATGGTGTGAGGAACACTCACTGTCGATCAATGCCAAGAAGACTGAGATGGTCCTTTTCACCAGGAAAAGAAGTTTATCGGGCATAAAAAGCAAACTAAACTTTTCTGAAGAGGTGAAATACCTTGGTACTATCTTCGACAGGAAGTTAACATGGAACTCTCATCTACAGAGTAGAGCAAAAAAAGTATATGTGTCTTATGAGCAATGTCGAAGGACAATGGGATGCGCATGGGGGTCTTTCATCCCGAGTGGTCACCTGGATCTACGTTACAATAATAGAACCTATGTTAACGTACGGAGCCATTGCATGTGGACCGAAAGTTTTACAAGCAACGCCATCGAAAAATTATATCAAATATAGCGACTGGCTTGTTTAAACATCACAGGAGCCATGAGAACAACACCAACCGCAGCACTGGAATAACGGGTCTGACGCCTCTGGAACTATACGTTGCGTTGCGTTAATAGGTTGCGTTAATGGCCATGATACGATTGCGCACGGCTGGTGTAAACTTCGAAGTAGGAATGGGTCAATTGAGACGTTTACTGCGCAACCTCTGCTGCAGGCAACCGGTGATGCAATTGAATCCAGGTTTATCTTTGAAAAATACCACAAAATACAAATAAAACAGATGTTAGATCTTCTCAAAGATCTAACACAAAGAAGAGTACCTGATGCAGTACAAATACAGGTAAATTTACCTAAAGTAACTGAGTTGAGACGCTCTGACCGTATAAAGAGGCAGACGACAGAATGACAAGTTCAGTTTGAGGAGTGCCTAGAAGATGACAGTACTACCAACTGTCGAAAGCGCTCGCAGATAATTAATAAAAGATATAAACCACAGCTCCAAACAGCTCCAAAACCAAAGAAGGCTCAGGATGTGGAGTGTACTCCAGATCACTAAGCCTAAGGAGTAAGTGTGGAATGAGAAAAAATACCAGCGTGGTCCAAACAGAACTGGCTGGTATCTCAATCGCCCCAAAAGGAATAATCAGGAAAGGAATTTCTGGAAAAAACATAACAATCTGCACTGATAGCACTATTAGCCTTGAACAGACAGCGTGTAACCTCAGGGCTAGAGTGTGACAAAGATTTAGCCAAAGCCTCGGTAGATAATAAAGTATCCTGAGGTGGGTTGAAGATCACGACAGGAGTAAAGGTGATCGCATGGCCGACTCTTTAGCCAAGGAAGCGGCTGAATTAAGAATGTTGGGACTGAGTGGCACCTACGGCCTAATGACTTCCACAATTGTGGAACTAGCCAAATGTTACACCCATGCTCAATCCCTAAAGACATGGGATGGAATCAAAGGATGCATTCTTGCCAAGATCACCTTGGGCGACCCTGAGAAGCTGGCGCCGAAGAAATATCTGGCGATGACCAGGAAAAATCTACGCTTAACAGTAACTGGTCACTGTCTACTTAGGAAACACCTTCATAATATGGGGCTAATGAACACACCTCTATGCAGGATATGTTAACAGAAAGATGAGACTGTCAGGCATGTCCTATGCCAGTGCCCGTAGTTATCATCAATAAGAGAGTGTGTGTTCGGCGAGTCATGGCCTACACCTGCCGATGTAAAGGAGATATCTCCCAGTGACTTGTCCACCTTCCTGGAAAGAATAGGATGAACGACGACCCAGGAGGACAACTCCTCGGGAGGATGTACAATGGGTCACATGTGACCTAAGTGCTGTGGGCTTATACTCACCCTCCCTACTCTACAGATACAGATACATAATGTACGGAACGCTTTCGAGAGTAGACTGTATTATTGTATGGAATTAGGTGGAGGTCATTTTGAACAACTTACCCATTGATACTGTTTCCACTGATATAGTTTGTTATTGATTTCCTCATTAAAATGAACGACAGCAAATTTTCTGTTTTTTCTTAAATGAAACGTTCAACATTCAGTTTCTCGATAACGAATGAACCGATATCGAAAAAATCACAGAGGTGATAGAGGGACAAAATACCTTTCAAATGATGTATCATTCGACCCCCCATGTCGTTGAAAAAAATAGGGGGGTAGTTGCTGACCGCAGGGGGGTGAAGTTTCGGGTATGATTTTCATATTAGAATTACTCCCCCTAGAAATAAAAATTGACGTGTTTTTTGAAATTTTCGATTACATGTCCGTTTATGACTTACAGGGGGTCAAGTTTTCATTGGAACGCCCTGTATATGCATATAAAGCATGTATATAAAGTATAGACAGGCCTGAAGAAGATATTGTATAGCGAAACACGTGTTGCGTTTTTGTGAAACTGTTTAGTGAAAATCTCACAATGAAGTGTTTCTTGAATACGTTATGGATTTTCATTCGTACGTGAATTTTTATGTAATAAGATATGAATAGACAGTTTTCTCCTGCAGATTTTGTTAAATCAAAAGAATATTACTCACCTCTGTCAACTCGGTTTCTTTGATATGCAGCATATGTTTAGACACAGATATCACATCTTTCAATGCTGCTACATGATTTTTATATTCCTGTCGTTCTGTTTCGAAACACACAAATTTTGTATTCAAACTTTGAAGGTCTGCTTGTAACGCGGCTATATTCTTTTTCAGTTCACGATTTTTTTCTATAATGCACTCACTGTCTTGAAGTAGTCTGGATTTTTCTTCTAAGCGGTTCTTTAAATCCTCGATTTCTGCCCGTAATCGCTCAATGGTCTCACTTTTCCCAATATCCGTTTCAATTTGCTCGTCAGTAACCTTCAACTTCCTCAAATCTTCATTTTCTTTTTTCAATCTGAGAATTTCCTGTCTTAGATCATCCATTTCCTTTTTCTTCTCGAGAATAATTCCCTTTCGTTTTTCGTGCTTTCGTGCAAGTTCTAACTTGAATTCGCTCAGTATTTCTTCTTTTTCTTCTGATAATACTCTTGAACTTGATTCATTCGCAACTGATTTGTTACTGGCGGTATATTCGCTCGTTGAACTTTTTGCGATTCTGTTTTCGCAATTCGGTTCATTCGTGGACCACCACAAATCGTCAACAGTTTCGTCAAAATGCGCACTATTTATGTTTCCCATGATTTAACTTCAACGAAAGTTCCTGAAAAAGAAAGGAAAGTGAGTAAAGGTTATTTGAGTGGGAAAACACACAGGAATGCCTACACGATAAGCAAAAAGTTAAAAATAGCTTATGAATTGCTTGGCACCTCCAGTGGCTTGTACTTGGAATGATTGGGAAATCGTTTTCGGCGGTAATTTCTTTAAAAAAGAGTATGATACATTTGAATTAGATCAAACAAACAAGTAACTTTCAGACATAAACTGAAAGAAAGTCCTCCTGAAACAGCTACTTTCACACGAAAGAAAAAAATTCTTTCGAAACCTATACTTCTATATGAACACTGAATTATACAGAAGATACTTCTCTCTACTCAGTTTATATTTCAAACATTCGTTATGGAATAAAAATCAGATATCAGATGTATACCAGTGAGGATGACAGTGTTCTATGTAAGTGCAATTTATTGCCATTCATTTAAAGTAGAACTCATGTGAATGATATCTGATTTTTATTCCATAACGAATGTTTGAAATACAAACTGAGTAGAGAAAAGTATCTTTTGTATAATTCAGTGTTCATATAGAAGTATTTGTTTCGAAAGATTTTTTTTCTTTCGTGTAATTCAATGTTTCTATGAAAATAGCTGTTTCAGGAGGACTTTCTTTCAGTTTGTGTCTGAAAGTTACTTCTTTGTATGATTTACACATCCATGTATAGAGTTACTTATTTTCAAATTGATTACTTCCCTTCTTTGAAAGATTCCCTCATCCTTTTTTTTGTATCAAGATGGAGTAGTAGAAAGCCAAGAACTTTTTTTCTCAAAAAGTATTTTGACTGCCAAATTCTATGTTTTTCTGAGATGACACGTTCGTTGTTTGAAGTCATGAGAAAAAAAACTTCAGAACTTCCTTAATCATCTGAATAGCTTTCATTTGAAAATCCAGTTCACCAAAGAATTAGAAGAAAACCCCCAAATTCCTTTCCTTGATGTTTTAGTCATCAAGAAAGGTAACCAACTAGGCCATAGGGTGTACAGGAAAAAACACACACAAATGGATACTCACATAATGGATCCAACCATCATCCAACACAGAAACGAACCGTCATCAACACCCTAGTAAACAGAGCTTTGTGAATATGTGAAGAAAACGTTGACGACGAAATAAAACACCAAACAATTGTGTTACAAGTGAACGGCTACGGCAGAAAAGACATAATCCGCACACCACGTCCAAAGAAAAACACCAGTGAAGGTCAGCCTCAAGGCACTGTCTATCTGCCATACATAGAAGGTGTCACCAACCGAATCAGGAAAACTCTAAAGAAGGTGAAAATCAACACCGTCTTCAAACCAACTAAGAAAATATCTGAGTATCTGAGATCAGCAAAAGACAGCAGAGATCCACTCAAATCGGCGGGAGTTTACAGGATTTCATGTAACTGTGTAAAGTCTATATTGGTCAGACTAAAAGAAGCATTCGTATCCGCCTAGTCGAGCACAAGAGGAGTTGTCGATTAGGACAAACCGAGAAGTCTGCAGTCGCTGAAAATGCACTGTCCGACGGGGAACACAAGATCCTGTTCGAAAATACCGAGAAGCTAGCAACGTCGAATAATTATTTAACAAGAATGTATTTTGGAGCCACAGAAATACACAAACACCAAGAGAACTTCAACATAAAAGAGAGAGAGTACATATTTACCAAAGATTTGGCACACAACCTTGAAAAACACCAAAACGAAGTCAACTAAATCGCGCGGAAGGTACCCGCGAACCCGCCATTACAGAAAGTGCCCAAAAAATCAGCACTATAAATGACACACCAGAAATGGGAGCTTAAGATTGAGTTGACATGTCAAAAAGAGTACTTCAGCAACGCCAATGAAGATGACTGCTGCAGTTGCAGTCGAAACGTTTGGTAATCATAACCAAAGAAGATCACGGCAAAACATGGAAACCACCCAAAACATTCATCGACTAACTTGAAAACGAAAAAACCATCAACTGCGACTATTGCATAGCGTTATTGGAGCGTTTGAAGGACGAATTCTCGGAGAAACGGCCCCATTAAAGAAAAATGAATTGGTATTCAATTAAGACAATGCACTGTTTTACATATCTATGAAAATGATGGCAAAATTGCATGAATTGGGCTTTCAGTTGCTTCCGCATCTACCGTATTCTCCAGACCTGGCCCACTGCGACTTCAAGAGAATGCTCGATGGAAAGAAATTTAGCGCTGATGAAGAGGTAATCGTTGAAACTGAGGCCTATTTTGGGGCTAAAGACCTATCGTACTATAAAATTGGTATCGAAACACTGTATGACCGCTATAATCTTTGTATCTATACTTTTTCAAGCTTTCTTTTATGTTAGCCAACGAATTTTTCAACCCAACTATCATGATTTTGTTTCAACATTGTATGTTATTATGTGGCTGCATTTTGCTATCTTGGAAATATTTCTAAATTCTACTTCCCTGATCAGGGAAATATATTTTTAGGAACACTGCCAAAAATTTGCTTGAAGGGTTTTGGCGGAGAATAAAACAGTCACAAAGGAAGGCTATTTTTGTGGAATTAATAATAAACGTAGGCAGATATTTATTGCGTGTTTTGGCGACCTGTTCATTTATTTGGCTGAGAATGCTTAGTCACGTTCTGCTTACGGTCAAAATTTCTACGTATTTGTATTCGATTTGTGACTTGACAAATAACCATCATAGCATATAGATAGGCAATATCCTTGTGCCGGCACAAATATACGATTGAGGCAAAGAAACTGTATATAAGATGGACACAAAATATCAGAAGTAGTATTGCTCAGTAAAGGTATGAAAACTCAGAAATAGCTAACACAATCTAACTATCTACCTGAAAACATTCAGTAAGTTCACCTGAAACTTTCTAAATCTTTGTTTTTTTTTTATAATGGCCATGTTATGTAAAGGCGATGACATCTCCCCTCACGAAGACGTCAACTAAGGGATCGAGTTGAGTCTATTTCTGCAGTTTTCACTGCAAAGCGACTAATTGAAACCAGCACTCAAAACAAACCATTCATGATCCAATACCAGACCCACAATTGGGTCAAGACAAGCCTGGGTAAGCCAAGGTGGCGTTTTCGTCACCTTGAGGACTTTTGAGGGTTGTCGTTGTCGCTGTTTAATAGAAAAGGTAATTTTTTTTATTAAAAAATACCCACATTTTTTAGAATGAAGATAGAGAATTAGTGAGCCAAAATCTTGCTTTCTGAAAGAAGTTAACTTGTGATCAGATGTCACAATTTAATGACGAATTACTCGCATTCGTTAAGGTGGGATACTATCTCCTCTTCTGTGGTCGCTTCTGGTGGATAGTCTGCTTGATGCCCTCGACAGAAGAAAAGTTGATCTGCAAGCTTATGCAGATGACCTTGTCATCCTGACAAGGTCAACGTCGGGAATGGTAGCTTGTAATATCCTCCAAAGCGCGTTGGACGTTGTTCACAGTTGGTGCCTGAGGGAGCAGATGTCTGTCAACCCCAGCAAAACTGTGTTAATTCTCTTCACCAAGAGAAGAAAATTGGACGATCTAACGCCACTTTCCCTCAATGGTGTGATCATTCCATTTGGAACGGAGATGAAATATCTTGGCATTGTCCTTGATGAAAGACTCACCTGGAACGCTCACTTGGAAAAAGTTTTACACAGACTGTCTCTATGGACATGTCAAAGGACTTGTGGTAGAACTTGGGGTTTAGGTCCCAAACAAATCCATTGGATTTATATGATGATTGTCAGATCAATGATCACTTATGGTGTAATTGCTTGGTGGCCGAAGGCTCTACGGAAAACGGCCCAAGCGAAGCTCTCTGGCGTACCGAGACAGGCTTGTCTGGCTATCAGTGGTGCCATCAGTACCACACCGTCAGTGGCCATAGAGATTCTTCCAGATCTACCTCCTCTCCACATTTTTCTGGAAAGAGAGGCTAGATGGACTGATTACAGACTTGCTAGAGAGGCTAGATGGACTGCATACAGACTTGTGCACATTGCCAATTGCATAAGTCAATTCAATGCAGAGTGCAACAGACTGTTGGTTGATATTGGAAGTCACAGCATTCTGGAAATGCCTCCAACTGTCAACTAGGAACTGCCTTATAAAGTACTATTCCCGAGTAGAGAGGACTGGAACCTCCGAGTGAAGGAAATATCAAGAGCAGATAGCTGTTGGCTCACAAATGTATCCAAAACACCTCCCGGTTCTAGTGCAAGTGTTTTCAGTTGCAGACCTACGACAGAGTTATCTACCTGCCTAGGAACTTATGCGACTGTATTTCAAGCGGAAATTCACGCTATTGAATTGTGTGCGGTTGGATAAATCCAATCTCACTCACAAGTCAATAAAAATATTCTCGGCTCTTGGCTCCTACCGAGCAACGCCTAAATTGGTAGCAAACTGCCAAAAACGACTCTCCTCAATAGGAAGACTTAACAGATTGTCTCTGGTCTGGATTCCTGGCCATACTGGCCTGTAAAGCAATGAAGCTGCTGACTCTCTTGCAAAGGAGGGTGCTGCAAACGGCTTCATCGGACCAGAACCTGTCATTGGCATCGCTTTGGGCTTTGCCAAACAAACACTGAACACCTGGATGATAAGAAGATTTATGGACTTCTGGCAGAATCTTCCAGGATTGGCTCACTCCAAGGCGTTTATTCACCCTTCGAAGCTTGATTCCAAACAGTTGTTGGACTACAGTAGGGATGAACTACGATGTCTAACAGGCCTTCTTACAGGTCATTGTCATTTGAATCATCACATGCAGAGCCTTGGACAGTTGGAAGACAATGTGTGTCGCCTCTGTCTGGAAAATGATGAAACAGCAGAGCATATACTTTGTGACTGCCCCGCTGGGGACCGAATCAGGTTTTTGAGTTCGGCAGATCCGTACTCTCATTATCTGACCTGAAAGACTACTCACCATACAAACTAATCGGCTTCGTTAAGAAGCTGGATTTATTTGTCCGAGTGTGAATAGGTGTGAGCCACAATAAACCCTTATGGGTTGCGGTGGAGGATCGAATAGACCCACTCACTTTAGACCTACCTACCTATCTACCTACCTACCTACAGAATGGCCAGCCCGCTCGCCAGATTTGACACATTTGGACTTTTTTATGGGGCTATTTGAAGTAAAAGTTGTACGAAACTGAACCTCTTTCAATATTGGATATACGGCAGTAGTAGTTGAAGATATTGACATTATATTCTAGGGTTGTGAAGCATTCGTCAGGAGCTTCAAAAAGTTGTGTCACAAGACCCCCCTTCCATTTAATTTTTTTCCCAGATGCTGCTCGGTCGCCATCTTGAAAGTTTCATCTGTCAATTTCACTTCAAAATGAAGTATTCATGCATTAATTTCATTATCCTAAATTTCAATTTTTTGAGTTGACCCGTTAAAAAAATGATAGGGGGAACATTAAAGAAAAACACTGTATAACAACTCCGTTTCTTATAGTGTGATTGAAAAAAAAAAGAGATTTCAAAAGCTCTCTCAGGAAGTTTATTTTCATATTGTCGCTAAAAGTGAAAAAAGAAGTGAGTTAATTAGGGTCAGTATAATATTTTTGGAATTTCTAGGTTATCGAATCATTTTGTTCGTAACCACAACATTTACACATGATTTCAGTTTTACACCTGTAGAAGGTTTTTATTTATTACAAGAAAATAATCATATTCAGAAAAAAGAAAACATAAAGAAACAATAGCGAATATGAAGTGATCATTGAATAAAAAAAAACGAATAGGTACTTACAAAGTATGGGACAAAAACTGATTTCGAAGGCGCACTACTCGAACAAATTTAACTCATAGACGTACGAGAGAACAGTTTACAGAAATTATTTTTAGAATTGGTTTTATTTGAAACATACGTCAGTATTGCATACAAAGGCGGGTTGGTGATTTTTGAAAGACTCAGACTGGGTAAATTGGTTTGGTTTCAAATTGTGTCGTACCATTTTTAAAAACATACTCATTAATGTGCTTTTAGTTCTTGTTACTGATGCAATAATGAGACGGTTTCCGCACTTCATTTCATCCTGTTGTTTCACCATTTTCAAAAAACAGTTCTTAATGAGCAACTTTTCACTAGTTAGAAGCAGCAATACCGGATTTTTATCAAAGTCAGATATTTGTTTTTTGAACTGTATAGTATGTAGTATCGACTATTTCCAATACATATCCTAAATTTTTTTTTAACATAGTGCACCAGTCATCTTTATCAATTGATGAACATTTCTCAAATGAGAAAATATTCAGATTATTCACAGTTATCTATTCAACTCTTTCATTTAGGAATCACACGTTAAAAGGTAAGATCTCGTTAGTCCTTAGCTCGCACAAGTTTCGAATTCTAAGAGTTGTCGTTTGTAGGGGTGCGACGACTGGTCAACGGAATACAGATTTTTCAAACAGATTTATTTGCTGTCTAACCAACTATTTTAACAATTTTTTCTGTTTTATTGTCATGTGTTAATTCCAGTGTTGTAATATGTACTGATCGTTAGAGAATTTTGTACTCTGTGCATTGATGTTGTTAATTTTTTTCCAAATTTTATTTTTTTTTGACTCTTTTCAGCTTATTACTATATGATGTCATTGAGTGACCTACATTGATCCAGGACGAGGATTTGAAGACACCTAAAACCTAGCCAAAAATGAAGTTTGTCAACTTCAATTGTCAACTTCAATTGTTATATTGGTGAAAAAAATTGCTATGGATATTGTTGATCAAGGTATGTACTAGATTTTAAGATACATAAGTTCCATTTAATAGACTTTGTTTTCGAATATAGAGTGTAAAATCATTTGTATGAGAAAAAAACTTGTATTTTTCGTTATTCTTTTGCAATCATGGATATTTCAAACATGTGCAAGGGATTGCACAAAATAATACTTACATTTTATGACACTTCAAAGTTTCTAGAATAAGTTTATGAAGCAAAATCATTCACTATTCACATTTCATAGAATTTTTCTGTTGAAATTTACGGATTGTGGACCTTCTGTTATATCTATGACAAGATACAACTATACGAACTTGTTAGAGCAAGTTTGACAGAAAGCTCCAGGATATGGAAAAAAAATAAGTTGAAATAACCAATTGCCCCCGAAAAAAAGTGATGAACTTCAAAAAGTCTTTAAGACTTCAAAGTGGTATGTAAACGTAAATGGCTTGCTTGTAATAGTACAGAAAGCCGTTTCTTAGAAAAAGACCACGTATTCTAAAAACACTTTATTGTCTGATTTTCACTAGACAGTTTTACAAAAATGCAACACGTGTTTCGCCATACAATGGCTTCCTCGGGTGTGGCTTAATAACTCTATCAAGTTATTAGGACACGCCCGAAAAAGACCACGAATGGCCTAATGATTAGATTTTACTACATGCTAAGTCTACAAGAGTCGCGTAACCGACAAAAATGCAAAGAAACAAATTCAAAAAGATTTTAAAGACAAGTTGGTATTACTCGTGGATATTTCTTAGGTTGGGTATGGCAACACTAATGACGGTAACACTTCACGAAGATTCTTCCAGAACGCTGAAAAAGCAGCTTCAATGACGGTCAACGACATAGAATTAATAAAAAGATTCAGAACAACATTAAAGGTTTTGTCATCTGGCTTTAAAATGAACTTGGAAAAATTTTCAAGCTTCGTCAAGACTACAGTAGAAATGTACATAAATTCATACTCTTGGCAACCTGTCGCCTACAGTACACAAAATATTGGTCCACTCATCAAGCGTTATAGCTCATGCCTTGTTACCGATTGGACAATTATCGAAAGAAGCTGCGGAAGCTCAAAATAAACACTTTCGATAGTACAGAAAGAGTTTTTCTAGAAAGTTTTCCAGAATAGAGTGCAACGAAGATATACCTAATCGACTTTTGCTCACTTCGGACACATATTCAAGTAGCATGAGGCGAAAACAAAACAATCCAAAGAAATTATTCAGTGCTGACGCTAAGCAATTTTTTAAATTGGATGACAGCCTTCCTCAGGAATTATATGCATTAAAACTCATGTTGAAGTGAAATCTGTTGACTGCTAATAAGGTACATATTTTTTTGTAATTTTATTTATTCTTAATAATGTTATTATTTGCCGTTCTCTCATTTTATGTCTTATGTCTCATTTTATGTCTTTTTTCAATACAAAAAATATTTCATTTTACCTCCATTATTGATTTGTCTTTTTTCATTAAAAATATCACAATATGTCAATTTCTATCCATAACATTTAAAAGAAGTGAGAAAATATTTTTGGCCACGTTTTAGGTGCTTTCACCACTTTGTGCGAAGGCGGAAGAACTGGGCGTCAGCTCCAATGCGGTTTTTGATGGTATTAAACGTATTGGAAAGGTCGACAAAAATTGTGGAATTTCGAGGTCGGTTCTTCTTTGCTTTTGCGCAATCAAAACGATAATTTTTGGTTCGGATCGTCGCGTGTCATGAAAAGTGGACCCTCTACAATTGGAGACTTTCAGGACAGTGGTTGGACACCAAGGAGCCGCCCAGTCCATTCCCAAAGGCAAACATTCACCACCTGGTGGTGTGTTCCACTACAACTTCCAGCAACTGGGCCAGACAATCACAGTAGAATCCTGTTGCGAGAAAATCGACGAAATGTACCGACAATTGCATCATCAGCAACCGACACTGGACAACAGAAGGCGTCCCATTTTGCCCCAAGACAACGCCCATCCGCATATTTCACAAATCATCGTTCGAAAATCAAACGAATTCAGTGTCGAAGTTCTGCCTCACTCACTATACTTCCCAAACCTCTCAGCAACAAACTATCATCTTTTCAAACACTTCTATAACTCTCTCACCAGTTGAACCTTCACAAATCAAGACCAGGTGAAAACGGCCTTCGTTGACTTCATTGAATCTCGAGAACGCAAGTTTCATGCAGACGGAATTATTTGACCTGTTACATTGGCAAAAGTGCATTCATTCAAATGGCATTTCTTTCGATCAAATTGAATAATCATCCACTGATATATTACAGTTTGAAGCAGACTCATAATAACGGACAAAACCTTTGAAATAACTCAATACATTCTAGAAATGTACGGAACGATTGGAATATTCTTAAACTAACATACAGGGCCGATTGGTAATTTCTTTTGGATGCATACACCTTCATTCTGAAATGTAATATTTTATAGTGATATCAGCACTTGTTACTACATTACCTTATGAAATATTATCAATGAAAAGAATTGATTAATGATAAGAATAGAAGAAAAAAGCCAACAAAATCATCCTCATTAGTGAAACGCGTGTCGAGGACTACTGCTTTGGTGCTTGTGTGGTGCTTCACCGTCAGCAGGAGGTTGCATATCTTAATAAGGATCTAGAGGTGATTGGGGGGAAAGAAATAAGGTTCAATTCAATGCCAAAAAACCCAGGCATCGATTTTCAAAAAGATAAATGCCTACAAACCAAATATAATAATGTCAGGGCAGGCAATTTCGCTTTCTGGTTCGATAAGTTTGTTGGGTGTTGAAATGGACAGCAATATGTCTATGCACAATCAAGTCGCTGGAATTGCAAAGGCTGCTTCTCAAAAGTTCGTAACACTTTTGGGAAAGAAGGTTTCTGGCTTTCCACTTTTCACAATACTTCTATATGAACACAGAAGGTACTTTTCTCTACTCAGTTTGTATCTCAAATATTTGTTGTGGAATAAAATTAAATATCATCTACATGAGTTCTACTTTAAATGAATGGTAACAAATTGCACTTACATGGAACACTGTCATCCTCACTGGTATACATCGATGTTTCGCCTTAAGACACTAGCCCTAAGGCTCTTCAGTACCAAATTGGATAACATTATACTGAATTATACAGAAGATATTTTTCTCTACTCAGTTTATATTTCAAACATTCGTTATGGAATAAAAATCAGATATCATTCACATGAGTTCTACTTTAAATGAATGGTAACAAATTGCACTTACATGGAACACTGTCATCCTCACTTGTATGATCTACTCATCCATGTATGGAGTTACTTATTTTCAAATTGATTACACATTGATGTACACACCTCAGTAACTTTTGATGCTTTGTATTGTTTTCATGTATGGAGCTCCGCCCCTAAGCGTACTCTGAAGCTGCTGGAATCAATCCAGAAAAGAGCCATGCCCCTGATTGGATACTCAAACATCACTTGCAACCTTGATAGTATGTAACGTCGAAGAAGGGTTGGAGATTTGTCTGTCTTTTATAGATACTTTCACGAAAGGTGTTCGAATGACTTGGTACATTTGATTTCACCAAGAGCGGTCCATATCAGAAATACCCGACTGCGGCTGCTCATCGGCTTGAGGTTCAACTCAGTACACCTCGAAGTCCACTACTTAAAAACCATTTCATTTGGAGAACTGCGTGTATGTGGAATAAACTTTCTGAGAAGGAGTGGATTCAATCTTCAGCGATTCAAATCCAACGTGGATCGCTACTTTCGCACAGGCACAGCTCTTAGAGTGCCTTGAGGATTTTCCTACAGTGTTGTGTTCTGTCTTAAAAATAATTTTTATCAGAATAAACACTTTCAGGATAAGAGGGAATATTTTTGGGAGAGATTAGTCTTTTGGGAAAGAGCTTTTTTCGCTTTCCACTCATCCACCATGAAAAAAATTGGGAAATTTCTAAAAAACGAAAAGAAATTGAAATGTTTGGAAATGATATTTCGAAGTATTCATTTCGCCCAACTACCTACACCGTAGGTTCTGGTAAATATCTGCCTGAAACAACTACTTCCTTTGTTTGAATGTGGTTGACAATGTTTAATGAAGAATCTTACTAGTTCGGACTTCCATAGTCTAAAATGATTTGAAATCTCTGAAAGAATAAAAGTTCAGCTACTTTCTTGACTAATATCACGCTGAATATTGAATTATTTCCGAGGTATAATTCCAGTTTCGAGGTATTACTTCTCATCAGTGCAGGAAAAGTCCGAACCAAACAGCAAGGTGTCTGGGATTCGAATAATTTTATCGCGGCTCGACTACATGTATGAAACCTTCTCCTGAGAGAAATGATGTTCTCTAGTAACAGATCCATCTCGTAAACGAAGTCCCGAGCGAGAAGAAAACATCCGATGTACCAGTAATTTAGCAGAGATCAGAGCATGTCTGTAGACTACCAACTACCTACACCGTAGGTTCTGGTGAATGCCTGTCAGAAAATAACTACTTCCTTGACTGATACCACGCTGGGTATTAAATTATTTTCGACAGACATGTATGCAAGATTCCTCACAGAGGTTATTCTCGCAGATGTTTCTGATTCATCCAGCAGCAGTCGACTGTAGTACATACAGTCGAGCCGTGTTGAAATTAATATAGTCCCGGGCACTTTGCTGTTTGGGTCGGATCTTTCCTGCACTCAAGACTGGTGATACTTCGAAACCGATCTGAAGGTGATCTACTCGAATAATTTCAACATGGTCCTGCTGCTGGATGAACGAAAAACATCTGCGAGACTGATCTCTGTAAGGTATCTTGTACAAATGTCTATCGGATATAATTCAATGTCCAGCGTTCTATTAGCCGAGAAAGTAGTTGTTTTCCCACAGGCATTTACCGGAACCTACGGTGTAGGTAGTTGGGAGAGATAAATATTTCGAGATTTTATTTCCAAATATTCATTTTCTTATACTTATGTATCTCTCCTCAATACATTCTTCATACAAAAAGAAAGAGTGTAAAAAATAACTCAAAGAAAACTCTTCATGAAGATATGTAGTGTATACATGTATGCAGATGCAAACTGAAAAAGCAGCTCTTTTGAATGAAAAGAGAAATGAAAATGTCTATGTTTTTTACCACTTTTAATTGTAACTAACGTTACTGCAGTTCCGTCCTAAATGGACATTCTCAAACTAATACAATAAACTAACAATGATTCATTACATTCGCCAATATATACCATTCAGGTACTTGATTGAGTACCTGAATTTACAGTTCACAATGCGGATGTGCTAATTTAAAAACTGGAGAGTAAATTAAATCGATTTGATCATTTAACAGGTTGCACCTGCAATGTTTATGCTTGTAAATTTCCAAGGATTCTAAATAATTGAGTTTGCAATCCTTTCTTGCTCAGTGCAGAATTTCCGTATCGTTTAGAATCGGAAACTTGTGGTTGCATGCCAAGGAATGGTTTGAAAACGTCGAATCATTTTTCCTAGTCTGAAGGACCTTTCATGTTCAGCATACCGTTTTTGGAAATTTCGTCCGCATTGTCCCACATAAACACTATTACACTCCGGACACTTAAGCTTATACACTCCAGATTTTTCCAACTTGTCGACCTTATCTTTGACATTCAAAAGGAAATGAGATAACCTGGCATGTGGTTTGAATGCTACTTCAACATTGTTTTTTCTGAAGAAACCTGCGATTATTTCTGTTCTTTTTCCAAAATATGTTAGCGTTACCAATTTCTTGATTTCTGGTTGTTTGACCTGATTATATATTAATCTGTGAGTGAATTTCCGGCTTTGTTTCCTGACTAACTTCTGGATAGTATCTGCGTTGAAACCATTATTATGACCTATCTGTGTAATTGTATCAATTTCCCTAGCTAGATTGTCTGCATACAAAGGCAGTACGAATGCTCTGTGCAACATTGAGTTGTAGGCTGCTAATTTATGGTAAGGCTGGATGGTAAGAATCCCTTGGGATGGTGATGTCTGTATAGCTAGGTTTCCTGGAAAAATTGAATTCGAATTTATTCTGATTGTGTGTAATGGCCAGGTCTAATAAATTCATCTGTTTCTCTATCTCTGTTTCGAGTGTATACTGAATGTTGCTATTGAGATGTTCATGAATGTCATAAATTGGTTCAGCTGTCGTGTAGTACCTCTGAAACAGGCAAGAATATCATCTACATATCTATACCAAAACTGAATATGTTTTTTACCCAGGTCGGAGTTTACTATAGTTGTCTCCAAGTTGTTCATAATTGAGTTGTTCTCAATTATGTGTCTCCGTCTAGGTTATTGGAGCAAATTATATATTCGAAACTGTATAAATTCGCAAATAAATACATAGCACCTGAACAACATGGCTTTATGACCCAGAAATCAGTAAATACTAATTTATTTATTTTTAGCAACCATGCTTTTAAAACTTTACAAAATAAATCTCAATTGGACATAGTATTCACAGACTTCCGTAAAGCCTTTATCAAATAAATAAATAAATAAATAAATATGTCTGCTAAAAGTGGACTGAGGAGTGAGCCCATTGGTAAACCTGAATCCTGTTTATAGAATTTGTTGTTGAACTGTAGGTAGCTCTGATTCAGGCACACATCGAAAGCTGTTGAAACTTCACAGGTAGTGATATGGTCTACTTTGGCTTGATCTAATCTGTTTAAAATGAGGGGCTTACACTCGTTGTACGGTATTGTTGGAGAACATACTCTTTACATCGAATGAAACTGAAACTGAATTATGTAACGTGGTTTGGTTCCTTATGTTTTATACTAAAGTCAGTGAATTTTCAATGCTGTGAGGTGGGACGAAATTGGTAATATTTTTGAACAACTTGTTAAGACGTATTCCTAGTTCTCTTACCGGACTATTTATATACGAAACTACCGGTCTTATGGGGTTATCCTCTTATGTGCTTTTATCAGGCCATACAGTTTAGGGCAAGAGGGGTTCATGTTGGTGATTCTCCGTTTTTCTGATTCCGTGAAAATGATTTTAGTATCTGAGAGGAAATTTTTCAGTTCATTTTGACTATTTCTCGTCAGGTCTTTCTTGGTGACAATGAATGACACTCAATTTTCTGAATATATGCTTCTCGTTCGAAGATAACTATGGCATTCGATTTATCAGCTTTCGTGAAAATAAGATCATTATTTTTTATTTTTTGTTGTATAGTTTTTATTATGCTGGTTTGTCCACTGTTGGAAGGTTCTGAATTACTTCATTTCTTTTTCTTTTGAAACAAATATTGTTACATGAACATTGTATTACACGATGGTAAAAGCATTTACGAGTTTTTCTTTGGAAGTTCCTATTTTTTTTTTGTTTGATGATGGAGAAGAAGAAAGCCAGGAAGCATTTTTCCAGGAACACTGTTCCTTGTTCATCGTTATTGAAGTACAATACATACATTCTAGTTGCTAGTAAGTAATTGATAATTGATTGGCTATGTATAATGTCAATATCAAAGTAGTTTCAGTTGTTTAAGAATATATTTTTTAAATCTCAGTGGATACACCACTGTTCAATATCATGAGAGTATGTGCCAGGTTTTAAAAATATAATCTTTTCCATCTCATTCCAACTGTTGACGAAAATAAGGACAGACAATGTCTACGCGAAATTATCTAATATATTTCAGTCTATACGTGTTATTAGATATAGATTTGATACAATATTGAATTCACAGTGAATTGATCGATCTTCCCATCTGAATTTTCAACAGTTTCTGGCAACTTATCAGTTCTCAAATCATAAAACTGTCAAGTGTTTTATTATGAACTCTCTTGGTTGGATAACAAGGAAAAACGATGCAGTGATCCAGAATTGAATGAAAAATTATGTTTTTTAAAGATGCTATATTGCTTATAAATAGTAATACCTAAATTTTGTAAATGATCTCACAGTTTTAAGGAGTTGTGTTTGTGCGCATGATGAGGTGAGTTTCAGGTTATTTTATACAAAATTGTACAACTTCTGTACATATTTTCAATACATGTGTCAAAAAGTATTTCCTGATTGGGTTGAATTCCAAATTCTAACTTTGTTGACCTTTGAAAAAATCAATTTTCATGACATATTTTCCGTAATTCGACGTCTTTGATATTTAGACTAGTCTGAAATAAATGAAAGATATTTCTGGAAGCAATAAAAATACCTACAATTACTGCCAAGCACAGTACAAGAAGCTGTTGTATGTTTTTCGGTGTCTTGGAGAATATGTTCTTGTGATGACTTTATGAATATTGACTATTTCTCCTTTTTCCTGGCGATAGGTAAAAATATGTCAGTTTGTTCGTGGAAAATATGAAACAAAACAAGAGCTAAAATGAAAGGATAATTAGAATGGTAGAAATTGGTGTATACCTATTACATTTTGAAATTATTATCATTATCATTGTTGTCTTTGTGTTTGTTGCACTTTGTTCAAATTAAAAGAGAATAAAATAGATGCACAATAGTAAAAATAGGGTTGGATTATTGATTTATATATCATAATTTTTGAATCTGTTAATGAGTTATTGGCGATCCTCGAGTTTTTTTGTTTATAAAAACGACAAAAAATGTCAGTACGACAATGAACATCATTGTTCAGTTAGAATATTCTCATTTAGTTTTCGGTTTCACTAGTAGAAGGGTACTACATCAACAATCTCTAATATGGTCAATGATCAATGGTCTCGTCTTTTGTAAAAAAAATTTGAAGCGATTTTTATTTACGATGCGACGCGTAACTTTCACGAGACCGAAAGGATTTTCAATGAAAGTTTTCCTAATCGTCCTATCTGTAGAAAATATTTGAGGAAACTGGTATCCAAATTCACAACTACAGGTCCATTCCGGAAAAACAGCAAGTGCAAATCATTGATGAGATGGTAGTAAATCCTGAACAGTCTACTTATTTCATCGTGAATGTTTGTAAGGTGTCTCCTTCTACTGCGTGGAGATTTTTGAGAGAAATAGGTATAAAATTAAAATGGTACACCAATTACTGAAGATGACTCTGATCAAAGAACAGAATTCTGCGACATCATGACGGAAACCATTGCAAGGCATCCTACCTATCTCCACAATATTTGTTTAAGTGACGAATGTACATTTTTTCAAACGGCAATGTTCACAGACAAAATTGCCTTTATCAGAGTGACACCAACCCTCACGTTTTTCGGAAAACACATACCCAATATCCAGAAAAAATTAACGTTTGGGAAACCATATTGTAGTACCCCTATTTATTGATCAAAATTTAACAGGGGACCTGTATTTGAGTATGCTGGAAACCACTGTTGAAATCGTCGAAGCGAATCCTAATGAATTCGATATGAATATTGTATTCCAACAAGATGGAGTACCACCACATCACTTCAGACAAGTGGATACTACTTTTCCCGGTCGTTGGATTGGCCGTCGAGGTCCTACAGAGGATTATATGCATCCCCCCTGAATAACCGCCAGTATGCTTATCAAACCGGCAAATCGACAGATTCAGCATAACTGGCTGGATCTATGCCATGCTGATAAACAGAACTGCAACTACGACTTTTCAAGGCGAGGCTATCAGGTTCAGGGTCACCAGGGGCTGCCCTTAAGGTGGGGTACTATCTCCTGTTTTGTGGTCGCTCCTGGTGGATAGTCTGCTTGATGCCCTCGACAGAAGAAAAGTTGACCTGCAAGCTTATGCAGATGACCTTGTCATCCTGGCAAGGTCCACGTCGGGAAGGGTAGCTTGTAATATTCTCCAAAACGCGTTGGACGTTGTTCACAGTTGGTGTCTGAGGAAGCAGATGTCTGTCAACTCTAGCAAAACTGTGTTAAATCCCTTCACCAAGAGAAGAAAATTAGACAATTTAACGCCACTTTCCCCCAATGGTGTGGTCATTCCATTTGGAACGGAGGTGAAATATCTTGGCATTGTCCTTGATGAAAGACTCACCTGGAACGCTCACTTGAAAAAAGTTTTACACAGAGCCAGACTGTCTCTATGGACATGTGAAAGGACAATCATCACATAAATCCATTGGATTTATGTGATGATTGTCAGATCAATGATCACTTATGGTGTAATTGCTTGGTGGCCGAAGGCTCTACGGAAAACGGCCCAAGCGAAGCTCTCTGGCGTACCGAGACAGGCTTGTCTGGCTATCAGTGGTGCCATCAGTACCACACCGTCAGTGGCCATAGAGATTCTTCCAGATCTACCTCCTCTAAATATCTTCCATAATCGAGTTCTTCTTATATCAGAAAAAAAACTGTCTTCACGAATGACTGACAAAACTTTATTTGATGTAGGTATTTCGTTTTTTATGTAAAAAGAGTGTACTGTTCTCCTAGGTAATAGAATTCTTGACTTCTTCATCGATCGAGTTCCTTCTAAAAATTGTTGATCTATTGACACCGGTCATACTCGTGCATTTTGCAGTACTACTTCCTACTTACTTTTCATTTCGGGTGACAATTTCAGACGCTTCACGATTCCCGAACAACTAGCTTTCATGTTGTATAGCTGTTTATTCAACGCGCTGTCGAAGTAAACTGAAGAATATCACGAATAACCCCGCTAAAAAGCCAAGTCGGTCCTATTGATGGGTGCGATGTGTCTGTTGACAGTATAATTCAAAGGAATATCTATTTATACCGCCTTCAAATAAACAATGCTTTTTCAATCCCCTTCAACTAAATACCTATTTGTTGGAGAATGTCTTGGTTACTACTGGACATATTGGGTTTTTCTTGTAATTCAATTTACAATGGTGAGACCAGTCGTAATCTATCTGGAAGAATCACTTTACATAAAAGTGACTGCAGACTCAACAAACGTTCCTGTGGACTAGCTGAACATGTTATGTCTCCAGATCATGTTATGGATTATCAAAATACTAAAATTTCAACAGTTGAAAATAATAAATTCAAAAGGCTTTTTCTAGAAATGGTTCACATAAGTAAACATAATAATAATTTAAACAAAAAATCAGAAATACAAAATTTAAGTCAAATTTACAATTATATATTAACTTGAACCATATATTAACTGTAGGACTTGAACCAGCGTTTCACGTAGAAGTCGATTGAATGAAAACAATGAAACGCCAATCCAACCGGTCATCGTCCCAAAAAAACAATGGATTAAGAAAATCATCAATGTTATACCTGATTCGTTGATTTGACTATTATATCAGCATATGATACAGGCTACCCTTTAATCTCTCTGTTATATTGTTAATTGAAAGCCGTGCATTTATTGTCGTCTGTTTGATAATTATGGAAAGTGAGTTTCTGTGTTTATTCCTGATTGATTATGTGTAATTTGAGTCGCAATTTAAGTTTTTATTTTTTTTTGTGTTCTTTATCTAACTGACTTTCATAGTCAGGTCACTAATATCATTAACGATAAAAAAAAAACGTTTTTTGTGAGATTGCGTTAATAACTTTTTCGAAATTCTTGTTGAAAAATCGTTAGAAACAGTTAGAAAAACTTGATTTACTGCAATAGTAACTACTTATGATGCACTGTAGTAATGAATATTACTGGAGATTTTTCCCAACACCAAGCCGTTTTTCAACACCTCGACACGTGTTTCGATCACCAAGTGATCATCTTCAAGAAAAAGATCAAACTGTTTGATATTTATTTATTTATGGACTTGCCATTATACAATGACCACATTAATAGTGTGATTGAGACAATAAACAATTGAATAATAATATAGAAAACCAAAAAAGAAAAAAAACAAATATCAATTGATTATTTATAATAATAATCAGCAGTTTCTTCATAGTAGGTCAATAAGTTCAACCCTGATTTTTAAAAGAGTACAAGGATGAGTCATATCAATATAGCTGCTATTCTTATTTGCTAACCTAGGAATTCTAGTGATGGTTTCATTTAAGCCATAGCTGATAGAATGATAAAGAACTTCAAACAATATTTCAGCAGTTCGGACATTGTATAATATAATATAAATTGATTTGGAATTCCTGAAAAAAATCAAAAGGATTCACCGAAAATAACAATTTTATTAAGAAAAAAACTGAAATTACAAAAAATAACATACAAGCAACAACCAAAGAATAAAAAATTGAATGGAGTAGTAGAGATCGATAACCAATAAGGTCATTATGTTGAAATTATTGCAAAACAGTAGCTATGGCAAAAATAATGACTTCACATGCTGTTTATCGATTTTAAACAGAACTCCATATCACGAAACAAGTTGCCCAATGCCACGAAGAGGTTGAGAATTGTAGAAAAACTTGAATGACTAGTAGGTTAGAGGTAAAACAGGAATCCTTGACGTAAAATCACTCTTCGCAAACACCAGAACTGCAATATTTTTCTCGACACACGTTTCACTAATCAAATTGGTGTTTTCATGCGATGAAGTAAACTTCATCTTCTGAAGACTAAGTATAATAACATTAACCGACACAGTCAACAAAATCGTGATGAAAGGAATTTTTTCAAAGCAGATTTTTGTCAACAGATGATTAAAATAGATCCATTATCAACTGACCTATTTAATATACTGTTGGAGCTAATATTTAAACCAACGGTACGAGTCTGAACAAGAGGCAGCAATACACAAGTTTCGCAGACAACAAAAAGTATTTGCAAAAGTCAAAGAAGAAGCTGGTTTGAAAATAAACCAAAAAAAAAAGAATATATGGAGATAAGGATGGATATAACAGAAGGAAATTAATGAATAACAATACGAGAAAATGAGAGGAAATATAAATTTGAAAGAGTAACTGAGTTTGAATATCTAGAAGCAGACAATCAGAAACAATATAATAGGCTTTTGAAATCCATGAGACAATGATAGGGCCAATATTACTAGACGCAGACAAAACTTGAATCATGAATCAGAAGAAAGGAGAAAGCTGGCGATCTGGGAAAGGAAAATAGTGCGAAAATTTTTTGTGGAAGAACGCTGGCGATCT